CCCCAAAAACCCCAAAACCCCAAAACCCCAAAACCCCTTTTACTGTAAAAATTATTGTATTTAGTTATGGAAATAAGGTAAGTAAACTTCTAAAACTCTCTTTTTGTCTCATCTAAAGCAAAGAACCATATATAAAAAGAACAAATCTGGGGAATATTTAAACTTTTCTCTTACTCTTCTGGTTTAGGTCTAGTCTAAACCAGCTTAGCCCAAAGCAGAAATGGAAGCATATTAAAACCTCTGACTTCAGCATGCTCAATCAATACTTCAGGAAGAACTATATTAAGGCTAAGAAGCAAGCTGATAGATTTGAAGAGCTTCAACAGTGTAAGTTTGATTCAGTTTCACTTAATCTGAATCTTGCTATTATTAGCACCAGGTCTAAAATTGTAGCTAAACTGAAAAGTCTTTTATTACAGTGGCTTATACAATGAACGATAGCTAAATTGCAGTAGCCTTCTTCTTTGGTCTCAATTTTAGGATTGTTAGCGACAATAATAGCTTAGGTTTTAATATTATTTAGGACAGACAGTTTGGAAAGACAATAAACGGCTGTTTAGTAACTTGAAAAATTGTAAAGGTCAGCTTTTTAAAGAGAGGAGATGACATAAGAAGGCTGGAGGCATGAAAAGTTTAAAGAAAAAAGCGCTTAAAAAGACTACTTCTGATTGCATCATTACTGGGAAAGGGAAAGTCAGGACCACAAACCGAAGTTTTGCCAGCTTTGCTAGTTTTCAGCACCAAAACTTCTCTGCAAGGTAAGAATTATCTGGTTTAGGCGAATATAGAGGGTACGAATCTGGTAAAGATGCTCATCTAAAGTTCCAGAGAAGCTTTGATTCATTCTCTTCTGAGCCATACTCAAATAGACTTGAGAATAGTCTGGATAGGAGCATGACTAGTCTCCAAAGAGATAAAATTAAATAAAATTGATAAAGAAAACCAAAGGTAGGTTTTAAAAATTAATCAAAATAGGATATTAAAGTCTTTGAGGAATATCAAACCTACTATTTGTATCAAGAATATTAAATAGCTTTAAAAGCCTCAAGAATTTAAAGAGTAAGAAAGCCCCAAAGCTGAGTAACTCTGTTGAACCTTTGAGAAGTATATTATAGTATATTTCGATTCTTACTTTTATGCTTAGACACTCAAAAGACAAAATTGAAGTCAAATACTAAACCGAGGTCTAAAAAGAGAAAAAAATTAATAACAAACTTGAACCTTCCTGATATTAACCTGCACATACCTTGCTATAAAAGAAATGATTTTAGGGTAAAACAATTCAACTCTGTCAAGAATAGCAACTTCTTAGCCTTAATAAAGAATAATGCTCCTTCCTGGTATTCTTCATTTGAGAGGCAAGGTAATGCAAGAAGAATATTATTCGAAGACAGATTGTATAAAGCTCTCCAGAAACAAGAAGAGACGATTACTCATAATATCAAGGCCTATCTCGACAGGAAGCCAGCAGTTATACCCGAGGTAGCCTTTACCGATGCCAGTACAAAATCAAATTCTTCTTTGAGTAACTACAAAAAACAAAAGATTTCCCAATGGCATCACCTCCTTGTCATCACTGAAGAGAAGGCTCCTCTTCTCAAGAAACTTAATCACAAGAAGGGGGTTCTGAAACCTGCCAAAGGGTCTAAAAACAACATCTAAATTCAATTTTCTATTCCAAAAACGGGGTTTTGGGGTTTTGGGGTTTTGGGG